ATGACAGCAATAAACTCACACCTATCAATAATTACACTGAATGTAAATGGCCTAAATGCACCCGTAAAGAGACAGAGAGTGACAGAATGGATTAAAAAAACAGGATCCATCAATATGCTGTCTCCTAGAGACACACTTTAGAAACAAGACATAAATTTATTAAAAATCAAATGGATGGAAAAAATATATCAAGCAAAAAGCAACCAAAAAAGAGCAGGAGTGGCAATACTAATCTCAAATAAAATAGACTTTAAAACAAAATCCACCATAAAAGACAAAGAAGGGCACTATATAATGATTAAAGGGACAATCCATCATGAAGACATAACCATAATAAACATCTCCACACCCAATGACAGGGCTCCCAAATACATAAACTATAACAGCACTGAAAAGAAAAATTGACAGTTCCACAATAATAGTAGGAGACTTCAACATACCATTCTCGGTAAAGGACAGAACATCTAGAAAGAAACTCAACATAGATACAGAAGACCTAAAGGGTACAATCAGCCAACTTGACCTTATAGACATAAATAGAATATTCCATTCAACAGCAGTAAGGTAAACATTCCTTTCCAATGCACATGGAACGTTCTCCAGAGTAGACCACATCTTAGGCCACAGAGTAACCCTCAACAAAATCCAAAACACTGAGATAATACAAAGTATCTTCTCTGACCATGCCATTAAGCTGGAAATTAACAACAGGAAGAGCAAGGAAAAAAATCAATTACATGGAAACTGAACAACACCCTGCTTAAAACCACTGGGCAATAGAAGAAACCAGAGATACAATCAAAAAATTCCTAGCATCAGACGAGAATGAAAACACATCATACCAAAACCTTTGGGACACAGCAAAGGCAGTCCTCAGAGAACAATTTATAGGAATAGATGTACACATCAAAAAAGAAGAAAGGGACAAAATAAAAACATTAGCTACACAACTTGAACAAATTGAGAGAGAACAGAAAAAAAAGCCCACAGCCACCAGAGGAAATAATAAAAATCAGAGCAGAAATTAAATGAAATAGAGAATAGAAAAACAATAGAAAGAATCAACAAAACCAAAAGTTGGCTCTTTGAAAGGATCAACAAAATTGACAACCGAGTGGCCAAACTGACAAAGAAAAACAGGAAAGGATGCAAATCACCCAAATAAGAAATGAAATGGGGGACTTATTATAACAGACCCAACAGAAGTAAAAAGGATCATAACAGAGTATTTTGAAAAACTATACTCCAACAAATTTGAAAACCTAGAAGAAATGGACAGATTTCTAGAAACACACTACCTACCCAAACTAACACAAAGTGATGTTGAAAATCTTAATAGACCCATAACAAGAGAAGAGATTGGAAAGGTAATTTAAAAACTCCCAACAAAAAGAAGCACTGGCACAGATGGCTTCCCTGGAGAATTCTACCAAACATTCAGAGAAGAGCTTATACCAGTACTACTCAAACTATTTCAGAA